TATTTATCCCTTTTGGAGTCTGATAGTTAGTTAAAATGTTGAAAAAGTATCAGATCGTTAGGAGTATTTTTGAACGAGTGAGGCCTTCTTAAATATGGGTAATATTTTGGGCTGTTCACACCGGTCCAGAGCAAACCGGAAGTCGAGTTTTAGATTTTCGTAAAATTCGCCAACATAAAAAAGCGCTTGAAGTTTTAAACTGGATTTTTTAAAAGAGCTTACCAAAGGGTGTCTTCTGACAAAATATGAGAAATTTGAAAATTCCTTCGCTGTCCCGCCATTCTCGACCGTTACGGACAGCCACTCTTAAAACCTCTTCTTTTTACTGGTAAACAACTGATTCCAACAGTAAATGCTAAATTTTCTCTCAAGTTTAAGTACTGTTTAATAAACCCCTCAAATATACTACTGTTGGAGTGAGTGGACTTGCTTTGTAAAAATCCACACGTTGAAATCGCGTATTCAACATGAATATCTATCTTAACGGTTCATGCGAAATTCAAGTTAAAGTCACCTGGTATGGTTCGCATACCGAGCAAATATTGATTTTCTGGATATTAAAAATGCGTTATTGAAGTTATTACATTTTGCGCCCGGTTATTACATTTTGCGTTAAACAGAATCATTAGATTTTGCGTCAAAAGTTATTAGATTTTGCGTTGTTATTACATTTTGTGAGAGTTATTAGATTTTTTGGCGTAACAAATGTTACAATGGCGTTTATGGGGATCGATGATAATAATGACAAGGATGATGATTGTGATGGTAAAGATCGGACGCTGAAACTTATTGTGAATGATAATGACTGCGGTTAAATAAATTAGTGGCTCGATTCTTCTTCAAGGGGTTGGTGTGAATAGTGACAATAGTGATGATGCCACTATGTGAAGGGTAAATAATGATGGGGATGTTGAGAATGACTATAAAAGAGTAAAAGTAAAAGAAAAATTCTTTTTTAAATAATAACAATGAGGTATTTATTAGATTTTATATTAGTGAGTCTTACCATTAACTCCATCAGTTTATCACTGATAATCTTGAAATCTTGGTTCTTTAACACCAAGTCTTTTTTTAGTCTATGAAAAATGAATAAAATACAAGTACGATATGAATGCAATCAACTAAAGCTCACAGCGATATGGAATTCTCCCAATTTTGTCTGCACGTTTTTCCTTCTGTGCACATTTATTCTGTGCATATTTTTTCCTGTGTTGACATTATTTACATACGATCCACAATGTATTTCATTCTTCATATGCAACATGCAACAAGGAAAAAACCTTCAGAAGCCTTCAGTTTTGGAATAGTATTTTATCCTCACTGCCTCGTCAACCGCCACCAGGGGAGGTGGGTGGGGTGAATCTTCCACTCTCTCCTTAGGCAGCTTTCGACGGAATGATTCAAGGATCTGGGTGTGGTGCTTATATATGCAGGGCTCGCAAAGCATTACACCTGCACTGCGCAAACTCCAATGTCCATATATGGGGGGTTGCTAAATTCCTCCGTGACACGCCAATTATGTATGCAGTGAGAATAGCTGTTCTTTCAGACCTCTATATGGTCACTCCCGGGGAGTAGCCAAGTGACTGCTTAATGAAGGGTGACCGATTAAGAAAGGGTCTCAAAGGTTCGACTGTATTAAACGTGTTGTTGCGTACTTACTTGTCAAGTTTCTGAATGGCTTTTTGCTTTTGCCGTTGAATCTTGATGCTTTCTTGTGTAGACAAATCAAGGACTCTGATGTACGTGAGACAAGTGAAAAGTCAGCGAAACGCTGTAAAATGAATATCTAACAAGATGATATTGCTGCTTACTTTTGATAGTTGACATTTCGTATCTTAACTGCTTTTTTCGTTTCATCCATGACTTGTTTATACGTAGGAGTAGGAGTTCTGTGGTATTGTTAAGGTTCGTTCGCTTTGCAGTTGTAACAAGATAGAGAGTAAAGATTGTATCATGGTATTTTTATCAGTTGTGATGATGCCACTAAAGAGGATGATGACTGTTGTAAGAGAAGAAGATAATAATGGTCATGTTGAAGACGGTGATGAATGTGGTGTTCATTGATGATAATGATGATAGGAAAGATGATGGTGAATACCGATTCAGTGAAGCCACTGGTGATGATGAGTTTGAGATGATGTTGGTGGATGATGATGGTGGCCTTGATGATGACGAAACAAGATGATGGATGAAAATGATGTCACTTTAAATGATGATTAGGTTGTTGAGATGATAATGCAGTGAATATGATGATTATAGAGATGATGATGATGATGATGATGATCACGATGATGATGGTGGTGATATGATGAGATGTTTGTGATGAAGACGATAATGGTAAAGACGATGATGGATGAAGATGATGGCACTGTTGTCGATGAGGTTGATGGTAAAAAAATCGTGATGATGTTTATGGATAATGCTGATGATGATAGAAGTTTATGATGAAATTGACGATAAATGTGATTACAATTATGTTGATGATGATAATGTTGGTGTTGATCAGAATGTTGATAGTGTTGGTGTTGCAATTGCAGCATTCCCAACATATAGGAAATTGGAAAAAAACGTTCAATGGCATAACTAACACTTTTTCGGATACTGTTGTTTGGAGATCTCAGTTCTGCTGATGCCTATCGCTGGTCCTTCACCACTAGAGAGTTCCTTCATCTTGAGATAGTGACACACCAGTGGACTTTGACCAAATATGTTAAAATTGACTCTCTCGAATTCAGGACCTGGTCCAATTTCATGAGACTGAAAAAGAATTCATTGAAAGAATGAATCAATGCAGCAAGACGGCTAGTATATGTGTTTTGTTTATCAGTAAAGACGGGGGGAGGGGGGGGGATGGAATAATAGCAATTGCAAACTAAAAAGTCCCAGGTTTAAAGAAAAGTTTTAGTCCTTTGGCCTTTTCTTCCTAATTCTGCGCCGCTAAAGGAGGACAAATAGTTGCACACGAGAATTGTTGTGCCTGTCCATTTAAAATGATGGCGATGGTCAACACTTTTTATTACGTTTCTACAGCATTGCCAACTTGCACTGTGTGAAGAAATATAGATTAACCTTCAATTCCAAAAACTAACTAGAGGACACTTTTCTAGCACACAAGAATTTCTGTACCTGTCCATTAAATATGATGGCAATGCAAAACCTTACACTGCAATTGCACAGTAGAAATTAAGATTAGCCTGATACCATGCAGGATATATAGCAAAATGGTAACAAGATTTCAACACATGACAAATCAAAAGCTACCTCCATTTCTTTGGGAGCAGGAGGTTTTGTGGCCGACAAAGGCCCTGTTGCGGTTCCTCTTCGTTTTGCCTGTCTGTCATCAGTTGGGAGTACTTCCTCTAGAGCCGTGTCTACATCGAATGTCATGTTAGCTGTGAAGAGTAATAATGTAACATTACTACATAGGTAAGATTTGTGATGGTGATAAAGATTATGAAAATGAAAGATGGCGATGATAATAGTGATGGATGGATGGATGGTGATAATTGTTAAATGAAGATTTTGATGCTCGAATAATGATGGTAAGGAGGTTAACAAAGATAACGTTGATGATGATGATGATGATGATGATGATGATGATGATGATAATGGCGATGATGAAGACAATTCATTGTTAAACAATCTAAAGTAATCTGAGGTCGTCCTTGCGCTTAAAACACAAAACATGGTAATTATAATGATCATGACAATGGTGATGGAGATGATGATGATGATGATGTTTTTAATACTAATTTATTAGCTTTTATTTATTAGCAGGGACACCACAACAGCTTTTATGCCAATTACAGTGGGCCTTGTAGAGTTTTTTAGCACGGGCACTGAAGATGGTCGTCACCAGCGTCTTCAGTGGATCTCTTACGTCCGCCTTATACAGGGTCATATAGTTTAAGTCTTTGTCCGAGAAGACTTGAAGGTCTAATTACTAGATATAATTACAAAGGCAGCACCTTCTCCTCCTTATTTTAAGACCCTGAGTGTTGGTCCGGCCGAGGCTTGAACCACGACCTCCCGCACAACAGACCGACGCTCTTACCAACTGAGCTAGTCGGGTTGCGGTTGATGATAATTGCATATGTAATATAGAATATTAATCAAGAAAACAAGAGTACCTTTCAGTGACTTTGTCCTGTCGTCCTGCAGTTCACGGATGTTTGCTGGTTCGAGTATCTTGAAGTTCCATTTCTTCCAGGATTGAGGTGGCGGCTTCGTACCTTACAGGAGGATGTATCAATTATAAATACCGATACTACGTGAGACATGAGGCTCACTAACGTACGGTGGCCACCGTACTAACGTAGCGAGGTCTCGCGATGGTCATAAAGCCCATACAATATGTTGCAAATAAAAAAAACGAGTTGCTGCATGTTAGACGACTTGCTGCAAATAAGAAACGAGTTCCTGCACGTTAGACAAGTTGTTGCAAATAAAAAACGAGTTATTGCACGTTAGACAAGTTGCAGCAAATAAGAAACGAGTTGCTGCAAGTTAGACGAGCTGCTACAAATATGAAACGAGTTCCTGAACGTTAGACAAGTTGTTGCAAATAAGAAACGAGTTGCTGCATGTTAGACGAGCTGCTGCAAATAAGAGACGAGTTCCTGCATGTTAGACAAGTTGTTGCAAATAAGAAACGAGTTGCTGCATGTTGGACGAGTTGCTACAAATAAGAAACGAGTTCCTGCATGTTAGACGAGTTGCTACAAATAAGAAACGAGTTCCTGAACGTTAGACAAGTTGTTGCAAATAAGAAACGAGTTGCTGCATGTTAAACAAGTTGCTACAAATAAGAGACGAGTTGCTGCATGTTAGACGAGCTGCTGCAAATACGAAACGAGTTGCTGCATGTTAGACGAGCTGCTGCAAATAAGAAACGAGTTGCTGCATGTTAGACGAGCTGCTGCAAATAAGAAACGAGTTGCTGCATGTTAGACAAGTTGCCGAAAATAAGAAACGAGTTGCTGCATGTTAGACGAGTTGCTGCAAATAAGAAACGAGTTGCTGCATGTTAGACGAGTTGCTACAAATAAGAAACGAGTTGCTGCATGTTAGACAAGTTGCCGAAAATAAGAAACGAGTTGCTGCATGTTAGACGAGTTGCTGCAAATACGAAACGAGTTGCTGCATGTTAGACGAGTTGCTGCAAATAAGAAACGAGTTGCTGCATGTTAGACGAGTTGCTGCAAATAAGAAACGAGTTGCTGCATGTTAGACGAGCTGCTGCAAATAAGAAACGAGTTGCTGCAACCTTTCAACGCAATAATAAATGCTAATACTACTTTCTCTAACCATACCTGTAACCCATTCACTGATGACATTGAGGAGATAGTTCTTAAAGTTTTCGTCAAACAGGCTGTAAGATCTCGGAAATGCCTCACAGAATGCGCCATATACAGCTTGGGCCAGACAGTCCGGATAATGCTGATGAAAACACACAAAACTAATACTCAGTCTTTACAACAATGTAGCAGAAGAGCTTTTTTAAGTTTTAGACCTTTTTAGTACTAAGGGAGTGAAAAGTCTTTTTTCAGTAATCTACTCCCATAACTTCTAGGTCTCAATCAGCTAGAAAAAGCGTTTGAATTTCATTATTTGCTCCAAATGGTGGTCAAACACTGCCCAAACACTGGGAACCATGTACTGTCATGTACATGTACTGGAGCCAAAAAACTTGTGGTTCAGGTGATTAAACTTGTGGTTCAGGTGATGAACTTTACAATGAGACAGGAGATGATTTAGAGTAAAACTAAGTGATTTCTAATGAAGTAAAGTTGTAGTTATAAATTATATTATACAAAAAAATAGGGATGGGATCCTAAGCTGCTACAATGTCCCTTCCCATTGGCAGCATTATTTCTAATATGAATGGGTATTTTTAAGGAAATGGGAGAAGTAACTTTCCCTGGGTGTACAGACGGGGTACACGCCATGGTAGGAATCCACCCATATGAAAGGACTGTAATAACAAGAATGCAGCAAATTACCATGAAGAAGCGGTCTTTATACGGAGGAGGGACGCCAAAGAATAAACAGACAAAACTGTCAGCAATCCTGTTAAACAAACCATCCTGTGCAGACCTCTTGTCAGACTAGTGAGAAACATAAAACCAGTGATATCAGTTTTATTGTTCAATAGTTGAGTGTATCTTGATGACATATAGTTTTTTTTTTGTTGATTGTCACCTATTTAATTGCCCACTAGAAAACCTCTTGCTTAAGTGGTCTGCACATTAACATCACAATATGGTAATGTCTATAAACATCGTGCTCACCTATACCAAGGCTGCAAATTAGTTCCACTTATTTGACAAATGTTCAGTAAAAATGACCACTTGACCAGGTGGTAAACAAATTTACACGAGTAAAGAAAAGTTGATTGAGCTTATGTAGTTATTGATGAAATGTCTGATTCATTAAAATATTAGTCACACTTGAGTTTTGAAGTGCTTCTTCTATAAGAATAAAAACCAATCTCACCTGAAAACAGTTTAAAAAGAACCACCAGAATGTGTCCTGCCAAAACAATTTAAAAATTGACAACAAAAAAAAATTGAATTAATGAGATTATCTTTTTTGTACATCAATATTAAAAAGATAGATGCTACGATGATACATGGTAATATTAAAGGGTGTCTGTATGCCTGCCACCAATCATACCAATAATTATACAACTCCTCATTAATCCCATATAGGTAACTGTCCAATTATTTTCTTAATTGGACAGGTCTTGTTAATATGGGATTAATTAGGCAGCTATATAATTAATAGGTAATGGGATTTCATGCTCCCCAATCAAGAAATAATTAGACTCGAAAAATTCCTCTGACTGCCAAGTTGGACTCTTTCTACGGCCTCATCCAATTTTGGAAGTCCTCGGAATTTTCCTCATCCAATTATTTGTTAATTGGACAGCATGGAGTCCTATTAGTATAGGAAATCGCACGATCTCGAGTACAATTTGGAAATTAATAGACACGAGTAATGTTTTGAAAGTTCTTGTAATTGCACGAGCCTTTAGGCGAGTGCAATTAAAGAACTTTCAAAACATTACAAGTGTCTATTAATTCCAAATTGTACGAGAAGATCATGTGATTTTTTGTTTATAGTTCACTCAGTAAAAAATGCGAAGCGACGCCGTTCATCTTTGTCTATTTGGCAGCCGATTTTCAGTCCATCACGCAACTGAAATGCATGAAAAAGATTAGTTCTTACGGCTTTAAAAATTTATTTATATGTTTTTTAAGTACAAAATGATAGAAAATAATTGTTTTGACATTGTTTTGGCCGTGTTGCCATAGCAACTTAATTCGGTACTCCTACAGAGTACAATTAACGCTTTAATTGTACTCTTCTCGACCAATCAGAGTCGAGTAATTTTGTTGAGTGTACTATATCTTATACTAATACACTTTTGAAGATTTCTAACACAACAAATTCAATTTTTTATGATTTGAAAATATGTCCCTTTAATTCAGTTAAATTAATATTTTCACCTCAATGAGTAAATTGCTAATTTATCTCTATTTTTACTGAAATCATAATTTGAAGTAATTTTCAGATTTGAAAATCCGGAATCGTATCCTGGAATGGCTCTTTGACTGGACGTCGGTAAAGTGGATCGTGGATCGAAAAACTTGATTTAATCAATTCAATTTCTTTGCCAAAATATTTTTTATCAGATAGCCAATACATATATATACAAAAAAATAATAAATAAAAGCAGTTTTTAAAGTTTTTTGATCCACGTTCCACTTTACCAAAGTCCAGTCCAAGGACCATTCTAGGAACCAATTCCTGATTTTCCAACTTAAAAATTGCTTTAAATTACTTAAAATGTCAATTTCAGTAAAAATGAAGATCAAAATACATGGATATTGAGACGAATATTACAATTTCATTGCAGTGAAGGGCAATCCAAATCATTATCTAAATTATACTGTGACGTTGCTAAATTAAAATTTCAATTTTTTAAAAAAAATTCGATTTTTATACTTAGATGATGATGAATTTTAAGAAATATAAAAAAGTTTTTCATTTTGGATACTCATCTTCTCAAACTCATTAATAATTCATGAGGTCAATGACCAATGGCGACTTTGCATTGTAGTCACATGCACTCACCTTGATACTTGATCAAAAACGGATCAAGACACTGATCAAAACACTGATGACTTTTTTAGTCTCAGGAGATGCAAGAGCAAATGAGTTATAATGAGACTGAGAAGTAAGTTTAAAAACTTGTGCTTCGTGTTTGATCAGGGCATCCAAACACCTCGAAACTGAATAAAAGCACTTGGCCTACGACCTCGTGCTTTCATCTGTTTCTCAGTGCTTGGATGCCCTGATCAAACACTCGCACTCGTTTTTGATCTATAGTTACTGTACATCCAGGATTGATTCCTGGGCTCAGTGTTTTGTGTTTGTAGGTTGTTTATTAGTTTTCTCTTGTGTTTTGAGGGTTTTTCTCTCGGTTCTTTGAATTTCTTCCTTTCTCAAAAACCAACTGCTGAATTCCAATTCAATTGCCCTATTTCATATGACGTCACCTCAAAACAATCTATTGTTTAAACGCAAAGGACCATGGTCGTCGGAGGGGGTCAAATCAATGCAAAGAGAAGTTGAATAGCCAGCAAACTCTCAGAATGTTTTTTAGTACATATTAACACGTTATATCTCAAAACCAGGCCATTTTAGATTAAACTGTTTCRCTAGGAGCAAATTTTGTTGAATTTTGAACTTGGCAATTTTCTATCCCCCACATAAACAAGCAGTGATCTCATAGTGAAATAGGGCAATTTAAGAATGAGCACAAGCTACAATGTAGTACCCAAGTTATATTTTGCGGTAAAAAAAGGTATAACATTTCAATGGAAAAGTATACCTGTAGGATCGCAACTGATGCCTCTGAAAGAAACAGCTTCTTCAACACCTTACGAAATGCTGGCTGAAGATATAATGAAATAGGAAAGAGATTATCACAGAGAATCTCATTTTGTAACTAAAACCCCATACAGTATGACACTGTTTCAGCTGTTTTGTATGACTATTTTTAGGCATGTCAACGCCTGGGCTGAACCAGCCCTGAAGGCACAACTTAACTCACAGAAGAAAATGGAATCATTGCAGCTTGTTTACTTGGAAATAAAAATAAACTTGAATCAAGGAAGCTGCCTAACAAACTGTACTCTTACTAGGTCTTGYGATGCTAACACAAATTTATTCTTAATATTTAGGTTTATTACTAATTACTTACTGGGAAATTTTGTGCTTTTATAACTTTGTTCAGCAATTGTGGTGCTTCAAGCTGGCCTGGAAGTGTTGTCATCTCATTAGGAAAGAACCCTGGGTAGTTTGTGTACTAAAAAACAGACATCAGCAACTTGAAAAGTTGAAATATGGATTTGAATGGAAATGCAGATATATGGCTGTATTATTGCAAAACTTGTACTTGTATATTGTACTTGTAAAGCTCATAGGAATGTTAACATGCAAATCTATTCTGTTCTTTTATAACCAGCTCACCTGAATACTCTTCACAATACTTGATTGTTCTTCTGAAAACCCAAACTAAAAAAATCCAAAAATCAATACTTGCTTGAGTAGAACATGATACTTAATAATGATGTTAAAAGGCAGCCTTCAATAAATGTTTGAGTGGGTAGGGGAAATTGTCAGCCTCATATTATATCCTAAGTGTGTAACAATTACTGTACAATTAACACAAGATCCCAGATTTCTAATGGAGGGGGCATTCATRACTAACATAAGCAATCATCCCTCCCTCCCTCTCCTCATTTAAGACAGTCCTGCACATGTAAGTGCAAATGGGGTTGGTACCATGCATCAGTGGGAAGTGGGCTCGAGAGATACTCTAGGACCCCCTGAATCAAGGTCCACCATGTAGTACTACTGCTAACCTACCCGATGAGTGACTTTTTCTTTCTTGTTGATGACTTCATCTGGGTGTCCCGCACTTATTGCTATAGTGAGATAAAGAAGAACAGTATCACATTTTGATTATCAGTAGGTTCGTAATACTCAGTGATAATAAGTAATATAACAATAGGAAACAAAAAATGTGATGTTGATGATGATGACCAATGATGATTGATAATGAATATGATGTTAATAATAAAGATGAAGATGATGACAGTGATGATGTCATGATGGTGGTGATTATGATGATAAAGATGACAACCATTGACTCCTGGTAGGTTCAGTTGGTTTCACGCTGAATCATCTCCAACTCTCAATGGTTTTTCTCTGAATTAATCTCCAATTTTCTCACCTCTGCAAAAAAAACCCTTCTAAATTGAAATTGGAATCCATCCATTCATTCATTCATTCATTCATTCATCCTTTTATTCATTCATTTATTCCTTCCTTCCATCTTTCATTCCTTCATTCATTTATTTTAATACCTCTCACACTAGTAGGGCTGAGTACATGGGTTTTTGAAGGACTTCCAGTGGATTGTTGACTGCTTGGCCGTGTTTCAGGATGCATGATACCACACCTATTGATCCTATTCTCCAACTCTTGAATCTGTCGTTGTAAATCATCCAGCAAACTTACATCAAAAGCTGACTTCAATGAAGGAAAACAATTTCTGAACCATTACCTACACATTTAAAAAAAATAATAAGCCCTGAGTTTATTTCAAAATTATCACTTTCTTGAAATGATGCACCTATCAATGTTAAACCCTAGGATTTGACAAACTTTCCTGTGGTCGCCCAGGGGGTGGGGTGGGGG